AGAGATATATCATAGATACAGGCATCAGGATTTTCCTAATAAATTACCAATATTAATAGCTATCGAGTTAGGGTTTTTACCTTTCGATAGTCCTTTTGACTAGCTACAAAATCAGGCATTTTGGAAACCCCCAAACTACTGGTCATCTGAGACACATCTAGGCAATTTGGTTTCTGGATGCAGTTTTTGTGCATTTTGAGACCTTTTTCGGACGATGTTTTGTTAGAAAACTACTATTTTGTTCAAAAATAATATCAGATTCGGAATCAGCGTTAAAAACTGAGTCGATTTATATATGTTGTGAATAATTTTGAGAAAAATATTTTTTTTTTAAATCCCTGTACCTCCTCTCAGGGATGGTCTGGTCAATAATGACAATTTTTTCGATAACTCAGCCATTTCGTGACGGATCCTTCTCATCTTCGAACTCGACCGAGATATTGTTAGGGCTGAACTGTGTAGAAAATTTCATCATGATCAGACTCTCCTTTCGAAAGTTATCGTGTAAACGGCCGGCCGGTCGGCCGGACGGACGGACATACTGACCGATTCTAGAGTGTACTCACTTTTTGAGTACACAAGAATGAAACATAAAGATTATTGATTTGTAAACAAAAAAACCATCGCCAACACTAAATCGGTCAATTTGACGCACTCTCACTCTTACGTCATCTAGATATGGACTTTGTTCCGCTTTGTTTTAAACTTAAACCGAGTCGAACAGAAAAAGTTTCATTTCAAAAAATTCTATTCCAAATAACTGAAAATGCTAATTTTGTACGATTCGTTCGTCTTCTACCAGACGGCTGTCATTGAAAGTCGTGCTCCGATAATAGAAAATTCTCGATAACAAACGGTCTTCCAAAAAGAATGATGCCTTTGATATAATCGCAGAACTTCCCACACATATCTAATTAGTTAAAAATGTGTAACTTCAATTAGTATATTTAATCTGAACTGTGTTTGATTCCAAGAATCCCAAATGAAAACCGACGAAGGCTGAAGCTATAATGATTTAAACATCTTTTTTATCCGAGAAAATCATTTTGAATCTCCCAACTTTAGCATTTGAAAAAAAAATAACAGAAGATTGGCCTGGAACATTTATTTGCTTGGACCTGACAGAATATTTGGTAACTAGTATTGTTGAACGTGGATGTGGGTGCTTATTGCGTATCTACAAATAAATCTGTGTTTTTTTACTTATTATTCATTTTTACTTTATTCATGAGAAAAACAAGATTTGATTCACTTGTCTGACCCTTCATATCGAAATACTGATCTATACTGCATCATTTTAGCTAAAAATAAAACCGTGTCCATCTCTGACGTCACTCTTAAGTAACTTAGTGCCCACCACAAAAGAAAGAAATGTTTCTTGATAAGAAAATCATCTTTCAAAACAAGGTTTGTATAGCTATAATTTTGTGACGATCTTCACTGATCACTAACTTTGTCTGGTTTACATCCATTGAATCAAACTGTTACATTGAATTCAGACATTGGATTTTTATAATACTTTATTTGAGAATATATACGTAAGCCTTATGAGTAGTTATTTTCTTTTTCCGAACAAAAGGAGTTACTCTCTCTATATATATATATACAGTGGGTAATAAAATTGATCAACCACCTGGTTGAATTTTTTTCTTTTCTTTATATCTCAAAAACTAAAATAGCTACACGAGTTAGGTTTTCACTACGTTATAGGCCATCATCTATAGTACTTGCATACGAAATTTCAAATGAAAATCTCATACGGTTAAGGTTTTTTTGAAAATCTAATAAGAACCTATAGTTTTCCACCGTTCCAAAATTAATCAACCAGAATGAAAATAAGTATCATAATAGATGTCCTCGATTCAATGTTTCTTTTATCTTAGTCCAGTTAGTGTGTATACATGTTCGTCTATATAAGAGACACGTATTTTAAAAAGAAAAACAACATTTTATTGAATTTTCATTTAACTATACATTCATGTCGCCTGCACAAAAAGAGCACTCGAACGATTTTCGAGAACTAACATTATTTAAATGGTGATTCTGAACGAGAAATAGCAAGCAAGATGTTGTGTTCAAGAAATACTATTCATTCTATGATTACGAAGTATAAAAAAACAAGGTGTATTGCTAATTTGGCTGGCCGTAGTCGAAAACGAAAAACAACAACCAGAGTGGACAAGCTTATTCAGCGGAAAATTAAAGTGGATCGTCGCAAGTCAGCGTCGTCTATTAAACATGAGATCATGGACGAGTTGAACGTTGCAATATCCAGTCAAACAGTTCGTCGTCGTGCTCATGAACTTGGATTGTATGGACATGTCGCTCGGAAAAAGCCTTATGTAAATAAAGCAAACCGGGTTAAGCGTCTGAATTACGTCAAAATGTATCAAGATAAGGGAATGGCATTCTGGAAACATTTCTTATGGTCAGATGAATCGAAGTACAATCTCTTTGGATCAGATAGCAAGGTTATGGTATGGCGAACACCAAAAGAAGAATATGATAAAAAATGTATAGTTCCGACAGTAAAATATGGTGGTGGTAATGTTAAGGTGTGGGGTTGTTTTGCTTGGAATGGTGTGGGAAATCTGGTGTTTATTGAAGGGAACATGACAGGTGCGATGTACAAAAACATTTTAGATGAAAATTTATTTCAATCATCGAAGAAATTGCAATTGGGTAGTGGCATGGTGTTTCAACATGACAATGACTTGAAACATACTGCACATATTGTGAAGTATTGGCTCGATGAAAATCATGTTGAACGTTTGATTTGGCCTCCATTCTCACCAGACCTCAATCCCATCGAACATCTTTGGGATGAACTCGAACGTCGAATGAAGAAGCATCAGCCAAAAAATGAGAAAGAACTTCGAGAATTACTATAACTCGAATGGGACAATATTGGCGAAGAGGTAACTAAAAAATTGGTTCAATCGGTTCCCAATCGTTTGTATGAATGTTCTCGTATGAAAGGATATCCCACAAAATATTAAAATAAAAAAGCTTTTCTCTTTCATAAAAATACAGTTCTTTTTTTATTTTGGTTGATTAATTTTGGAACGGTGGAAAACTATAGGTTCTTGTTGGATTTTCGATAAAATCTTAACGATATGAATTTTTCATTTGAAATTTTGTATACAAGTGCTATACGCGATGGGCTATAACATAGTGAAAACCTAACTAGTGTAGCTATTTTACTTTTTGAGATAAAAAGAAAACAAAAAAATTCAACCAGGTGGTTGATCAATTTTGTTACCCACTGTATATCAATGACTCATTCATTTTATAAGGTATTAAGTACGTGAAGATCATCGGAAGTAAGTAAAACATGCGAATCAAGGATACGTTTCTCATTTCATATAAAAGTTACGAATCATCAAATGTCGCTTCTTAGACTTTGCCCCAATTTAATCATCTTTTTTTGCATATGTTGAACTCTCGGAGCAAACGAAATATCGTATAAGTGGATCTCAATCGTTGAATTTTTTCGAACTATTTTTAACTGAAGTTTTAAAAATAGCTGTTTATTCTTTTTACATTTTCCAGTAATGATAATTTTTATTACTATTGTAGAATAGAATCGATAGTCTCTCATAAACAAAAACTTGATCTGGGTAGAAATAAAACATCTTTTAATGGTAAACACCTATCCTTCAAATTATAGCTGCTTGAAGTGCTTCACGTTTTTCTTCTCTAAAATGCATTTTCCTTATAATAAATGATAATTTTGATTGCGGTGATATATTGAAATGTCTAACTTAAGTATTATATTGAGGCTGCATTCTATTTGTCGATACTTCGTGAAAGTTAAATTTACTATCGATTAATATGATGGCAATCTGATTTGATTACATTTACATTCTTTAAAAAAGGAATATTAGTCTAATTCTTTGATTCGAAAAGCATTTTTATTATTTCTCTGTCTGTTTTTTTTTGTCATTTTATGCTACACGTATATATAAATAAAGAAACTGTTGAAAACTCTGGCATGAATAAATATTGTAACTTGAAATTCATTACCTTAGCAATATCTTAATATAGATGAAATCGAATTGTCTCTCAAATAAATCGAGATGTGATGAACCCTAATATTTTCGTAATGAACTTTCACTAAATGCTGAAATGTTAGTCAATGATAACAATTTATTGAGTCTATTCTAAACAAAAAAAAATCCGATTTGAACTTTCGTTATCGCTAAAATCATTCAAAACCTTTTATTTCAGAGCTTGTAGATCTTGACTGGTATATATTGTTTTAACTATCTTCGTTTAGGTAGTATGTAAGCATATTTTAATCTGCTATTTATTTTAATTGATTGATCAAATGAGATTCTCTTCTTCTTATACTGTACATTCGGTTAAATGGAGGATGTATGTATACTAATTAGTAGTTTTGTCTTTTTTCATGAGAAAACTCAAACATAGATAAAGAAAACATTATAACATATAGTGACTCATTTTCTTGTTACATGAAGCGATAAATAATAATGCTTGACATATTCAATATCTGACTTCGTTACAAACATTTAAAAAGAAAATTTATATAGAACCTTCCTAACAACAAAAGATATTATTTTTTCGAAAATCGAACTTTGTTAAAACTTCAATCGATCAAAAACAAATCAATTATATCGCAAATTAATTATTTCAATGAGAAACAGAAACGACTAATATACGTGCCGTTTTGAAGTTATTTCAGATCAACTAGGAAACAAACAGCAATGGATTGAATGATGATTTTTTTGCTCTTTGAAATATCTACAGCTAGAAATAGCTTTCTACTGAGAGATGTTACATATCCAGAGAATCAGGATTGCTGCAAATGTGCAAAATATATCGGGAGATGTGGCAGAAGTGACGGCGAATGATAGAGAATTATCGGAAAATACGGAAGAATTATAGTGAGACGGGTATGGGTGTCGGTGTAGGTGTGGGGTGTGACTGCCTGTGGATTATCTATGACCCATACACATCCACACCCCACCCATAGATACAAATCTCTTTAGATTTTTTACTATCTCATATACTCAATGGAATGAAATATAAGTGAGTCAACATGGAAGGTAACACTTCGAGTTGTTACCTCGTCAAAACATCCTAGATATGAGCATATAGTTTGTACAAATATACGATTGAGTTCTAAGAAACAGTGTTATCTTTTCACGCAACTTTTATGAGCACATTTTATTTATTCGATAACGGCAATTCGATAGGTTGAATAATATTAAAATTTTAGAAAAATAATTTCTTTTCACCGTTCTATGATCACATTCAAGTGACTGGCGACTCTGTTCTGAAGGGAAATCTGCCAATAGTATGACCAGTGTGTCGTCCTGCATCATCGCGACGGCTCTGCTCTATGTAATAGCTCCATAAAATATCTGAGATTATTCATATTGTCTTTTTGTGGATAGACTTTAAACTCAACTGTTGGCAAGCTTCTTTTTTCATAAAAATTTATAATTTTTCAGACAGTATTGGACGAGAAAAATAAGAATTTCGATTGGAACTTGCAAGTCTCAGAATCAAATCTTATACGCCTTCCTCACATGGTCGAAAAGCTAGAAAATTTCCTTCTTTCTACGTATCAGAAATGAAATGATTCAAACTACCTTGCTGGTATTGTGCAATACTTATTCGTTTAATAATGTCTTCAACAGCTCCTTGCAATTGGTCGAATCCTTTGATGCGATATCCGTTTAGAATAGGTGGTTTCAGCTCACTTAATTCCGCTATGATCTTGTTTAAGTACTGGGTTAATGCATTGTGGTCTTGTAGTAGTTTTGTATGATCGTTAGTCAATACATTATGTTCAAAGTTGCTCTTTCGTTCGTTGAGATCTCTCTGCTTGTCACTCAATAAAGTTTTAAAATTTCCAATGACCTTCTCGTTTCTTGTTTCGACTTCACGAATCTGTTGTTTCAGCTCATTCTCGTGGTTTGTAATTATTGAACGTATGTAGTCGAAAGTTTTAGTAATTGTGTCTATGGTAACATTTCCAGTGCCAGTTATTTGTTGTATCTCGTATTTCATTGATTTCTCCAAAGATGCTTGTGTTATCTCAAACAAAGTTTTTAGCTAAATGACAGAAAACGTGTGTTTATAGAATTTACGAAAACAACGGTGAATTCGCACCTCATTTGCCTTTTCTGGTGATACTTTCTCAATTGGAGAGACTTTATGATCCCTGTGTTCATACAGAACACAATCACGGCAAACGAGCTTTGTACAATTGTTACACCAAACCTTTAGCTTCTCATTAGGATGCTCTCTGCATGAGGCCAATTCCAGTGGTTTCTGATTGATTGGTACTGACACATGAGTTTTAAAAACAGATAATGTGTGAATCTGTTGGTGACATTTTTGACAATAACCGTTGTCACAATTTTTGCACCAATCTGTAGCTTTCACTGTATGGCAATTGGCACACAGAGTAGCAGCTAAAATAAAATAGTTAAAAGCGTTTGATGTGGAGCTAATTAAGAAGATATTTGCTACGAAAATAAAGCAAATGAAGTATGTGACAATTAATCGCGAATATTCATTCGTATAAGATGTCACAAGTATCTGAGCAAATTTTTATGCAAGTCGTGGGGTTATAAATACTTCCATACTTTTCTACTTAGATCATTTCTCCATATCAATGCTGGTGGAGCTTCAACCATTTCACTTACCACTGGATTGACAGATAATAAAGAGATCTGAGTCCAACTGCGATTGGATGCATTAAGTATGTGTCTGCAGGTGGGAGTGATCAGAAGTGTAGGTGAGTGTGAGTGCGGATGTAAATGGGATAAGTGGGGTGTTACTCTTCCCTTCGCCTTAGCTTACATTCACGTCTACACTCACACCGATACGTGCTGCGACTGCAGCTCACACCCCGGGCAGATGAGCCGCCGCTGTCATGACACAAAAGAATACTCGGCCTCCGGAATTTTTTGACAATTGGGGTCAGTTTTCAGAGATGTCCTTCGTATAAAAAAGCGAAAAAAATGCTGTCAGTCGATTTTTTGTGTCTTACAATTGATTGAAATCAAAGAAAATTTGTCTTTGAAGCTGAATACCTATTTTTAGTCGGATCAATCAAGAAATGACTGATTTTAACCTATTTTTTGGTACTTTTTCTGTATGAATGAGTATGTTTTGGTATAGTAACCCGTGGTATACAATGCACGTTCAAGACTGACTTAGCGTTCTATCTGCTGTTTGTTAAGCCGAGGAGTCCGGTAAACTTCAAAAGTTTGGGTTTCTAAATTAAAATTCAAGAGAAGCACATTTTACCGCCATCGTAATTAGGATCGATCAGAAATTAAACGTTTTTATTTAAATTAGATTAAAATCAGATTCTTTTCCTTTTTCTTAGATGGTTTGTCTAGTTTCATGTGAGCTGATACTTTACCAGCATTTTCTATCGTTTCCATTTCAAAACCTTTCGCAATCAAGATAATTTTAAAGAGCCGTCAAAAATGTCGAACCGCTGCCACCGCCGACTAGTTACATCCCAGTCAGATAAGGAGTCATTTTAACGCGTAAAAACATTCTTTTTTTATCGTTTTCGTCGAACTGGGATCACTCAAGCCACCATCGCTGATCGACTTATCGTCTTACACTTCTATTCGAAATTGTTTGCCACCTTTGATCATTTTTATCAATACATAAACGGGAACTCGATGGCAAAAAGTTGTTCTGTTCTTTTTTGAACGTCTTTTCTTGAATAACCACTAGCTACTATTCAAACAAGAAGAACAAGCGCACTGTATTAAATTTGATTATAATGATGTCATGACGAATGCGCATGTACTGACCGCGGACCTAGACGGAGAACATCGGGTTCGATTTAGGTTCGGGTTCAGTTAAGCTCAGCCCGACTTGAACTCTGTCACAC